GGGATTTGTTCTAATAGTGTTTGTAAATAGGATATCATGTCTGCATCTTGTACAGCAATTAACCACTAAGAAGAATGTATGCAATGTGTTAATTATTGCAACTGTCCTACCAATTTGGTTCCAAAGTGTCTCATTGCTATTTGTTTCTCAATAAAATTACAGAAAAAAATAAAAAAGAAAGTGATGAGCAGCATTAGAATTAAGACAGAGAAAGCAAGTGATAGGGAACTGGAATGAGCAAAACCAAGAAAGAAATGAATGGTTTTCATACAAATCTTTAGAGGAAGAAAGTTCTAGGTACAGACCCTAAGTCAAGAGAATGCCTGAGAAAGAGCAAGAAGCCCGTGGAAATGACGCATATTGAGAGATGAAGCTTTAGCTATTATTTTAAGTTAAGTAAGGGTTTACTGTTAAGTTTGGAGTAGAGAAGTGAAAAAGTATGGCATGATTACGAAGATCACACTGAGTGCTGTGTTGACAGCGAAGTATCAGATAATAGGAGCAGTGATGAGGACAGCTGTTAGAATTCCACTCCAAAATTCCAGATAGGATGTGACAAAAACTAAATACAAAGTAGAAGCCACAGAGATTCTGAGATGAGTATACAAATTAATGTATACTGCAGACCTACTAAGGGAAATTTCTAATGGAAAAAGAATACAGGAGAATGTAAAGGTGTCTTGAAGACATTCTGAGCAATGGAAGATTAAAGTTACTATCAACCAAAGATTGGAAGTACTCTAGGTGAGAGATTTTAGGGGTGTTGAGATGGCCATTGAGACCGGGCATGGTGGCACGTGCTTGTAATCCCAGCTCTTGTGAGGCTGTGAACAGGTGGATCACTACAAGTCTGATCTATTAGTGAGACCCTGAACACCCTGTAGACCCTTCCCTAAAATATAATAAATAAATAAAATTTTCTTTTCTAATTTCTGACACTAATCTTAAAAGACTTAGAAAGAGAAGCTACAGTCATATTCTTTAGAATTCTTGAAAATTCTTCCAGGACAATCTTTTTCACTCAAGAGTAACTGAAGGATCCAAACTCTAAGTAAAACAGGAGTCAATGCAAAAAAGGTCCAGAAGAAAGCCATGAGCCCTCAGGAAATATAAGGCCATATATTTATTCACATCAAGAAAAGAAACATACGTGGAACACAAGATCATATGAAACATTTCAAATGGACTATTTACTGGCAATAGAGCAAGCTTCAACAGCTTGCAAAGGATGTAAGACAGAAAGAACATGTTTCCTGACAATAGCATAGTTAGTGCAGAATCAAGACCCTCCAACAGAAAAGGAAAATCTTCCATGCATTTAGAATTTAAAGAGCACTCCACTGACCCTCCTCCAGCCAGCTCAACCCTCTTAAGGAACCCAGCCACCAACTCATACATAGATCACTCCACTCGTGATATAATGCCC